TCCCCTTCATGAGTATCCCTCACGAGTCTCCTCACGAGTCTCCACGGTCCCACCCCCCTCATGAGTCTCCCCCCTCATGGGGTCCAATATCATTGATATGCATATTCCTCATTTCACTTTTTCATAAGTCAGAACTTGAAATCATTTTTTGCCATCCACCTCATAAGTCAGAACACTGAACGCATTTGCATCTTCATAAGTCTAGAACTCCATTTCATCTCAGAGTCTAGAACAGAACTCACTTTCATCTTCATGAGTCTAGAACTCATTTGTCACGTATTATGCGAGCCTAGAACAGGAACTCATTTTCATCTTGCATAGCTAGGAACATGAACTCACTTCTCAATCTTCATGAGTCTAGACTCATTTCTATCTTCATGAGCTAGAACATGAACCACTTTCATCTTCATGAGTCTAGAACTCATTTTCATCTTCAGAAGTCAAACATGACTCATTTTCATCTCAATGAGTCTAGAACTGAACTCACTTCACTTCATGAGTCTAGAACCATTTCATCTTCATGAGTCTAGAACATGAACTCATTCATGCATAAGTCTAGAACTCAATTTTCATCTTCATGAGTCTAGAACAGTGAAATCCATTTTCATCTTCATAAGTCTAGAAACATGAACTCAATTTTCATCTTCAAAGTCTAGAACTCAATTTCCACTTCGTAGTCTGAATCATGAACTCACTTCATCTCCCATGAGTCTAGAACCATCTTTTCACTCATCGAAGTCTAGAACATGACATTTCATCTTCATGAAGTCAGAACATGAAATCATTTTCATCTCATAAGTCTAAGAACATGACTTCATTTTCATCTTCATAAGCAGCCATTTCATCTCGTGAGTCTAACTATCTCACTTCATCTTACAATGAAGTCTACTCATTTCATCTACATGAGTCTAGAAATACTCCAACTTCATTCTATCATGAGTAGAAAGCGCTGTGCTGTCAGCAGAGTGTTATGATAGCTGATATCTTCACTGACCCCCCCTCAAAGATCTTGATTCGAGTTGGCAGCGTCTGAACGGCCTCCCGCTCTTTCCACTCGTCTTTGGCAGATTTCACTCTGATTTCTTTCCCCTTCTTCCCGTAAGCGGCGTCGTTCTCTCGGGGCTCCGGTTTCCTCTGCAGCTGAATCGGATGAACAAACATTTTGTTAACATCCATTTTAAAGCGGACACCGTATCGACGGCGTAACGCGATGCTGACAATATTGAATGTCAAACATGGCGCTACACGAAATGTTTGGCAAACATGGATAATGCTGAAGGGGGAAACTCTACAGGAAACCTCCAATGAAACTACCTCATTCATGTACTCTCTGAAAAACGATGATTTTAGGGTCAATATTGCAGATTATATTCAAGTCGATTATTGTATAAAAGAAACAAGAAAATTGTTAAAAATGTGTATCTCAGGTCCTAAAGGCCATGCTGATGTGTTACATGTCCAAAGATATTCTGCATTTTGGTTTGTTATGAATATAAGTAATAATTGCATCTCGAAAATTCAATAGCAATACATTGGAAAGTAACACTAATTACACAATGAGGGTTTTGGATGTAATATGTTTGTGTTTTTCAAAAAAGTACCTGGTTTAATTGCATTGTATATCTGAATGTTAACAACCTATCTAATGCAACACATTGCCGTAATGAATTAAAGCTCTTATCTGCAGCTTTCGCCAAAATACCTAAGAGTTTGACAAATGTTGGGTAAAAAGCATTCTCCATTTCAAATCCCTGAGAGGTCTGAAAGAAGACTTGAATGCAAAATGGACCAGTGTGAAATAAAAAGGTATTTAGGATATCTCCTCACCTGCTCCACGGTTTGCCTCCACATGAGCAGCGACGACACCAACTTCCCTGCCCCTGGTTGACCAATGGCTGCCTTGCTATAGATAACAGAGCCTCCTTTCTGTTTGGATCTCAGTAGAGCCAAGGCGGCGCTTGTGTTCAAATCCAAAGGGTTTGGGTTGTGGCTGCTGACGCCCCACGAGGCGTAAACGGAGGAAAACGGGGCGTCGCTGTGCGAGTAGTTCGGCTTTGTGTGGTTCAGGAAACACCAGCTGACCCCCGTCGTCGTGCGAAGACTCGGAAATGATCTTGAATGCTCGGAGATCAAAACATCTTGATTGGTAACGAGTTTCGCCACCAATTCCACTCGCTTCTCAACGCCAATTTCTTTCCCGTATGGAGGCGAGCTGCTTTCCATGGTGGATTCGAGGCGTGTGATAGCCTGAGGTGTTGACGCTCGCCCCTTCTCTTCGCTCAGGTAACATTTCCCTAGCTCCACGGCGCTCAGTTCCTCCACGATCTGCCCGAACATCCGCTCCTCTTTCACCCGTTTCTGCTGCTTCACCTCCATGAAAAGATCCAGGCTGCTGGCGGGCGAAAGCATCCGTTTGTTGGCGCCACCACTGGAGGCGTTGGTGATGGAAATGGTTCTGGACGTCAGAGAAAGAGGAATGCCCGTTTTCAGTTTAGCCGACGACAAATCGAGAGCTTCCGTCGACGTCTGTCTGGAAACGCCAGAGATCTGAGTCTGAGAGGCGGCGCTTTCGTACTGATTGTCGAAAATCTGTGATACTGACGTGTACGTGATGCTGCCGTACGATGGCACGTGAGTTTGTAATCTCACGGGAACTAAGAGGCTCGGATGGGACAGCTGGGGAAACGTGTTCCCGGTGGAGAATATTGGCAAAGTGTTGCTGAGGTGAAACCCTTGCTGCCCCACCTCAGTTTCCATATTCAACGATTCCTGCCTCACCAAGTCCCCCCTCGTTCTCTCCCTCAAATCCACGTGTCTGAGTTTAGAAGTTTGCGTAAGGCTACCGTAATCGAACGATATGCTACGAGCCTCTGGTAGTTCCTTGCGTAAGTTACAAGGCGCTTGTTCTGAAGACGATCGCCTCATTTCGTGTTGTTGTCTCTGGTTGAGTAGCGATAAGTTATGAACGCTTCCCGGCACCGCCAGAAGCTCCAACGGTTTTCCAAACTCATCTTGTCGGGCGGGCGACTTCAAAACCTCCTCCCTGTCGAAGGAAAACGTGGAGCAATAAGATAAGTTGCTGTCTTGGCTTGGACTTCGGGAGAGACTTGTACACGCCGACTCAAAACTAGATTCCCCGGAGGAGTGCTCGATGTCGGCCAAGCGGAGCCTCTTCTTCTTCGGGGGGAGTTTCTCCGGAGGGAATTGTGCTAAGGTCTCACTCCTCTGAGGCCACTGAAACTCCTCCTTCTCCGGCTCTTTCACCTTCACCTCGGGAGCTTTCTCTGGACTGTCGGGCTCCACCGTCACCCTGATTTCTGGGACTTGTATGCTGGGTTGCCGCACCAATTTGGGGATTTGAAAGGACTGATCACTCCTCTCCAACGACTCACTCGACTCCATCGCTTGAAAGGAAGCCCCTTCCTGTCTCAGCGCGTGATACTGTTCAGAGTGAGGCCTGTTTATGGAGTTTGTGTGCTGGATAACAGATATTACATTCCCTAAAGTTTTACGACCAGACATTTCCGGACTCACTGATATGTCAAACTGCGGATGTCCTAACGCCATAATGCCAGCCACGGCTTGTTTGACATCGTAGTCTTTGCTTGAGTCAAACATCTCCTCACATTCATCCCGTCCCTCGTATTGTCCCGACAGATCTTCCTCTTCCCGTTTCTCTTTCCGACGTTTCCGCGTTGCCAGCTCCATGGCGTGTCTCTGATGGCTCGTACCAGAGGGGCAGCTTTCCATTTCCAATCCTGAGATCATTGACACACCGCTCTCCATCATCTTTCCTCCGTCTACATCTACGTGGCTTTCATTTGCCGAGTGCTCGAAGGCAGCTTGTCTCCGGAGTCTCCTCATACCGCCGATACTCGCTCTCTCGTCAAACGAATGGCTTCCTCTGAGTGCGGGAGGCATATTCAGACACACATCGGAAGACGTTGGCATCGAGTTGCTTCTGATCAGAAACGCATCAGACTGAAGTTCCTGAACATCCTCCCTCAGCAACGACTTTGTGTTTATTTTAATCGACTCGACCGCGTCTTTTTCCTGGGTGAAAACGCGGGACACGCCTCTTTCCGAGCGTCTTTCCGCCGCCTCGGCAAAAGCGGCGGCCGTCTGCTTTGGGCTCGGTTTGTAGCATTTCCCGAACATTATTTCCTGATAGGATTTGGCGTTGGTGTTCGGAGGCCCGGTTTGGTGCTCTGTGCTTTCTGAACGAGAGAAATATCCCGAATCCGTGCTGCCTTTACTGGATTGACTCGGCAGCGACAGGTTGTTCTCCGAGTCGCTGCTTCTTTTCTCAGAAAGCCTCAGAGCCAGCCTTTGTTTGATGGCGCTGGATTGAATCGAACGACTTGTCTCGGCATTGGTTTCTTGTG